TAATCATTTGTGCAGTGGCACCTGTGGTGAGAAAATGGAGTTAATGTTCCAGGTTGACTTGTCATCCTAATGTAGTGATACAAAGTCGCTCGACCTGAAATGCTATCTCTATTTGTCTTGCTTCTTTCTTGTGCTGTGTATGCCTATCATTTTGCATGAAAAGTCTTTTGTGGATAATGATGAAGAAAGACTTTCCACTAGGTTATTAACTTTTGATTCCACTGTTCAAGCATTTGAAGGTTGTGAGGTTGCCAGATCGTGATTAAAGGTTTTGATCTTTGAAAAACACATTCAGGATTTATTCTGATATTGGTTAACCCATGCTGTTTTACATAGCATGTTTTAACTTTAAATGATGTGCAGGTTTTGTCAGTTTTGTTTATAACGTGATCGAAATTTCATTTGAGGAGGGATGATGTTTGTTTGTTCTATTACCAATACAGGTACACCTTGGTTCTGCAAATTTAACTGGACTACACACCTGTACTTTGAAATCTGTGAATACAAAGCACCATGCAGGCTGCCCTCACTCCCAGTCTGGGCAGCAGTGCTCATATGGCACACTGTACCAGTGAACCTTATTTTCTTCCTAGCTGCTGGTCACCATGACTGGGTTGTCTCTTAACCCAGATAAAAGACATTACAGAGCAACTACAGAAATTCTATTTAGCAGGGTGAACTATGCTGTCTGTCAGAGAAACTGAGCTTAGCCGTAAAACTGGTGAATTTGAGGCTCTGAAATCTCTCTGCCACCTCAGTCTAAAGGCTCAAAGAAGCTTGTTCTGCACAATGCAATACTGATATTTGTGCATTGCATACAACTAATCCAACCGAACCTTTTTGGTTGCTAATTGACCACTCAAATTACAATGATATTCAGCTTGGATTCTATTGTGCTGGTTTAATGGTGTGACAAATGCAGACTTCAGAATGGAGTATGAGAGTAGGGAAGTCTTACTGCAACTGCACAAGGTGCTGGTGGGACCATATCTGGAGTTTTGGTCCCCTTATTTAAGGAAAGATATCATTTCATTGGAGGCAGTTTAGAGAAGATTCACTAGAATGATTCCTGGTATGGAAGAATTGTCTTATGAGCAAAGACTAAACAGGT